AGATCCTTCTCTGTGTGAGAGATAGATCCTTCTCTGTGTGAGAGATAGATCCTTCTCTGTGTGAGAGATAGATCCTTCTCTGTGTGAGAGATAGATCCTTCTCTGCTTTTCTGAGAGTTATCCCCAGAGGTCTGTCCCTGTTAATGGAGGAGTTCCCTTAGGTAACAGCTACCCTCTGTCTTCCTGGTCTTCCTGGCTGGTGGACAGTCACTTGCTGTACTACAGTGTCTACTCTCCAGGCTTCAGTTCTGGAAAATAAGTTTCCTAGGTCAGAGTGTTGCAGTGTGTTGAAAAATGTGTAAAAACTTATCACAAAGATGTTGGTTTTCCCCAAATTAATACCCAATGCAGTGGTGCTCCAGGAGACATAAAGAGGCAACCAAAGTCTGAGGGTGAGAAGGTCTTTATTGTGTTCAGTTGTTTTTCAACCGGATAATGTTGTCATACAATAAGTACAGAACAGTAAATCCACAAGAAGAGCCAGGAAAAAAGTGTTTAACTAAATGTCATGGTAAGTGTGCACTGTGAGTTAGTAGGGCAGACTGTGAGGGAGCTTGTGGTCTGACTAGAGCTCTGTAGAAACAGCTGTGGTCAGAGGGATGTAGGAGAGGAGCCCAGAAGAGAGGGAGGCAAACTGTTGAGTAGGAAATACTGCCTGGAACCGGATATGTAGCTGGGATCCAGCAAACCAGCCTTCCACTCAAAGCTTACTTGTGGAGAGTGAGCAGCTGACACTAGCACTGGCTGCCAGGCCAGGCTGGGAAGTGTTCTTCAGAGGCTGCCATGACAGGAAAAGGGAGGCAGGCAGCACTTTTAAGGAGAGTGACTCTGCCTGGTCCATTGACCATCATGGGAACCACCTTGGAGTTCACTCTCCAGAGGAATGTTAGAATCCACAGGAAAGGCTGCTTTCTCCCACTAATCAGGTCATCAGGAAAACTGATGTTGTGTAGCCTGGAAAGTATGTATTAGTAATTGTGTTCAAAACAAGGTTAAAACAGCATGGCCCTTGGAGGGACTCGAGTGTAATGGCGGGGAGTGTTGTGCCTCTTAGAGTGTTTGGAGTTGCCAGTCTGCATGGTGACGCTGTTTGCATCCATTCTTGTTGTGGAGAGCACAGCGGGGAGCGAGCCGTTTCTGTAGATAACTCCAGTGCCCTTCTCTGAGTTTGTGATGACTGCACCTGTGCTGTTCTGCTTGGTCTGCAGAGAGCCCAGCCTGCAGGACTCGTTTACCACAAAGAGCTTGTGTTGTGCCTGAGAAAGTGGCATGAGGGGCCAGTGCCCGGCGAGACACTTGTAATAAAGTTACTGGATTTTAGAATCAGAAAGGGCCTTTGGGTATCCAGGCAAAATAGATGAAGTTACTTCTATGCAAAAGAATGACTGTATCCTCAGACTTCAACACCAGCACTTTATGCCAGAGGAAAAAGGTATTCCAAGATGTAAAGAAAATGCCAGCCAATGATTTTTATATCCAGCTGAATTGACTTCCAAGTCTAAAGGCTAAAGACAAACCTGTCAACTTGGAAGAAAGCACACTTTGGGCTCTTTCTGACACGTCTGCTAGACATGGAGCTCGAAACTCAAAACCACAGAGAGAGTCTGACTCAAGCCTCCTGGTGAGCACTGGATGTATTAACTTTATCTCCTGACTCCAAACGCAGCCTATCCAGGGGCCTGCACTATGTGTGGTTAGGGCAGGAGCCCTGACTAGAGTTCCAGCTGGAAGAGCACCACGCTGGTTCAACACGTAAAGATGCCTGCTGCCAAGCAAGCCTGATAACCTGAGTCCCATCCCTGGCATCCACATAGGAGACCCTGCAAGTTGTCTTCTGACTGTCACATATGCCTCACGGTGTGCATTCACATGGACGTAGATGGGCACACACACACACACACACACACACACACACACACACACACACACGCTTACATGCTTGTCCACACAATAACTAACCTAAACTTTTTTTTTTTTTAATAAGAAAGGAAACAGAGCCATGACCATGGAGAGATCATATGCAGAATACCTGGCGGTTTTCATTCTCAAATGACAGGACAACTGTTCAGTACACTGAGGCCTGTGTGTGGCATGAAAATATGTGGTAAAGCCAGAGAGTGACCATCCTGCTATCTTATGTTGTGAGGGGCAGAACTGTTTAGGAGTATGTTTACACACAGGCAGAGGAGGTCAAAGCTGTGTGCCTCTGAATTGACAGTGTCAGTGTGACCTCATAACCAGCCAAGTAGACATGACCATCCTGCTTGCAGACTGCTGTCTTCAGCTGCTGCTTCCCCCAGTGCAAGCCAGGGTCGTGGAGAAATGGCTGCTTCTCAAGCCTGTGTCAGAAATGTACAAGATGAGCCCAGAGCTTCTTGGCACCTTAGAGTCAAGTCAGCAAGACTGCAGTCAACCCCTCACTTCAGTGTGAGGCCTGCATGAGGCATCTGTGGGCCGAGGTGTGGCAGCCAGGGCAGCAGCCTGGTGGAGGTGGTTTGCAGCAGACTGTTTCCAAGACCGTTACTTGGTCTTTGAAGGAGAGTCAGGACTCGTCAGTTGAAAAGACGAATGAGAGGGAGTCTGAGCACTTCCCCTGTCTTTGCTGCACCTCATACCTTCAGGAAACTAAAGAGTGGAGGGAGGGGTGTGCTTGCAGACAGTCTCACTCATTAATTTGGAAGGGCTGGTTCAGTTAGACACACCTCTAAGGAATTAGACCTGGGCAGTGAGCAGCAGTTGCCACTGGTCTCACAGAAGGGCACAGCCAGGCCTTGTCACTACCTCCATTCAGTCTTTATCTTTTTTATTAAGGCAATCTCACCGTGTAGCCCAGGTTGGCCTCACTTGCAGCCCCTCCCTGCCTATGCTTCCTGAGAGGATCATAGACACGGGCCATTTGTTTTCTTGTGGTGATGGAAAGAGAAGGCTGGAGAAGCATGCATCTACTACGGCTCTGCACCCACAGGTGGCTTTGGATGGAAGAGTGCTCCACCTTGTTGGGTAGCAGCTAGCCACATACCTTATGGAGCCTGTCCAGCCAGTTCGTTGTGTATTTATTTTGTTTGTTTGTCTTGTTCATCAGTGTATACTGGGGCACATGTGGTAGTCAAAGGATAGCTTGGAGCAATTGGCTCTTCTTCTACCAGTATGGATTGTGGCCATCAAAACTCAAGCTTAGTACCTTTCTTGCCAGCCTCTCCATCTACTTTCTAATAAGAAATTCAGACTAAATTAAAGCTTATATGAATGTATTTCAAATGATGAGAAGCTACTGTTAACATGGGAAACAGGGAGGGGCCCCTGTAAATGACAAGGTCTGAAGATTCCTGAACAGTTTAGGGTTGTGTGTTGGTGCTCACACTGGAGCAGTGGTTCTCAACTTGTGGGTGATGACCCCTTGGGACATCAAATGGCCCGTTCATAAGAGTCACATACTGTACCAGATATTTAAATTATTATTCATAGCAGTAGCAAAATAGCAGTTATGAAGTAACAATGAAAATAATTTTTGCCGGGTAGTGGTGGCACACGCATTTAATCCCAGCACTTGGGAGGCAGAGGCAGGTAGATTTCTGAGTTCAAGGCCAGCCTGGTCTACAGTTCCAGGACAGCCTGGGCTACACAGAGAAACCCTGTCTCAAAAAACCAAAAAAAAAAAAAAAAAAAAAGAAAGAAAATAACTTTTGGTTGGAGGCCACCACAAGATGAGGGTACAGAACGTGTATTAAAGGGTCACAGCCCCAGGAATGAGTGGCTGAGGACCACTGCTCCAGAGAGGTGGGGGGTGGGGTGGGTATGGGAGTGGGAAATGGTCATATGGGCGTGAAGTGTGACTGTAGCATGATGTCCCAGAGTTGTGTGTCTTGGTTTGGGTAGTGGATGTGGTATTTGCTTCTTTTGTTAAAGAGCCCTTTCTGCAGCAGAGGTTAAAAGAGCAGGTGGAACAGACAGCTGTATGGATGTCATTGACCCCTCTGTAGATGGAAAGGACTTTACTGCTTCTTAGAGGCTACACATTAATCCCACCTCCCGCTTAAGGACCCGCGTGTTTGGGAGACCTGACAGCTTCGTGCTTTCTGCACGTCCTGTCTGCATGTCCTCAGTGCACTGGGTGTTACTGCGAACACTGGAGATAAGCTGCCATGAACAGCCCTAAATCACTGCCTTCACAAGCTCCTAGGTCTCGATAAAATACCTAAGCTGTTTTGTCTTGGCAGGAAGTGGGATGCCCGAGGGGAAATGCGGTGTGAAGTCGAGTGTGAGGGGTTGTGGGGCAGCTTTACGGTAGGATGGGGGAGGCCTGGCTCTGAACAGAGAGCCAGGAGAAAGTACAAGAACAGATTGCAGGTGTCCTTCCGGGCAAGGAACATTCCACCAAGGAATAGAAGTGTCAGGTGACACAGCCAGGCACAAGGCTGGAGCAAGAGCAATTGGAACTGAGATCCAGAGGCAAAGGGGTGCGGTGGAGGGACATCACCTTCTAACTAGAAGTAAGCTTTAGTGTGAGGAGGTAGACACAGTGGAGAACTGGGGCGGAGCCATGCCCTTGTGGTTGAGCGCATCGCTGGGACCCTGGACTGCTGCCTCAAAGGGTGAGAAAGGAAAGCATGGAAGGAAGCAGGAGCCACTCAAGAGGAGGGCAGTGAGACACCCACGGAGGCCGGGCCAGCTTGCCAAGTTAGTGACACAAACTCATGAGAGGGTGTTGGAAGAGGAGGCCAGAGGCCTGACCGCCACAGGCTGATAGCTCGCTGTGTCAGGAAGGTGACTGAGAAGGAAGAAGGCTTAGCATGCCCTAGTTTTCCAGGCAGGTGCGGAGTAACAGTAGAGGGTGCAGGTTTGACTTCTTCAGAAAACCTCTTCTGGGGAGTAACTTCTGGAAAGGTGGTCAGTGTGGATGCACCTGAAACCATGAGGCTGGAAGGACTCCCTGAGGCCACGGGGCACAGAAGGAGCAGCCTGAGCCCTGAGTGTTGGAAGCAGGCCTGGGGACCAGCACAGTGCACTCACTTCCCAGGATGCAGAGGGTCTGAATGTCTGCGTGCTGGTGGACTGCTCAGTCGGGTGCAGATGTGCACAAGGTGTGTCTGTCTTGTAACGTGCAGTATGGGATGTGAGGGGGACGCTGGGCAGTGAGGTTCTCAGTGGCTTGTCTGATTGCTTTCCAGGAAAGCTTTAACCTGGAAATACTACGCAAAGAAAATTCTTTACTACCTGCGGCAGCAGAAAATCCTCAATAACCTCAAGGCTTTCCTGCAGCAGCCCGATGACTACGAGTCCTATCTTGAAGGTGGGTCTGTCTGTGCCTGCGGACACGGGTCTTTGGCAACTGAGCAGCCTTTAAGAGCCTGTGGCAACTGTTCCCCCAGAGAAGGGGAAAAGAAAGTCATGCCAGTGGGCTTCAAACGAGGCAGACAGCTCTTAGACTTGCAGCAAAGATGCTGGGTGCGACTTCCCTGTCAGCTCAGGTGATCTAGTGTCTAGAGAGTCATCACTGCCTTAGTGACAGTGAGGGCTGGACACTCAGTAGGGAAAGTGCTTGCCACACAAGTATAAGGAATTGATTTCAGTCCCCAGAACCAGTGTAGAAAGCCAGACTTGCTGTATACTAGTAACCTCAGCACTGGAGAGAGGGAGGCAAGGGACTATTGCAGTTCCCTGGCCAGTGAGCTTGGCAAAAACAAGACGAACCACTTCCAAGAATGGTGCTGAGGTTGACCTCTGACCTCAACACACAAGCACCCGTGGGCCTGCAGATTGACCTTTGGCTAGTGAGATCAGTTCTTGCTGTTCAAAGTTGTAACTTCAGACGTCTGCTTGCCCATATTTACCTGTGTCCCCTGAAGCAGTTGGGGATTAGCGAGGATAGGCAGCTCCTGGGGGAGGGATAGTTCAAGTGGGAAGGAAGGGGAAAGCATTGAGGTGGCCTCCACCCTGTGACAGGACAGACTTGATTCTTAGGGGAATGGTAAGAAAATATGACTTGGCTTTTTAAACACTGTTTTAATTCTTAGGTAGAAGCCTCCTATGCTGTGATTGTGAAGGGTGTGCTTATGCACCCTCTCTGCTCCTGGGGGGTGGGGGTGGGTCACCAGATGGTGACTGCCCCCCTCTGATGTTCTGGGTCACAGCTTACACATTACGGTTCTCCAGACTCTCAGCCAGACTCTAGGGAATCCTGGCTTTCCCTGGGCATCACTGCCTGCTGCCCTCCAGTCAGCCAGCCTGTCTGACCTGCTTGGTTCCCAGGCACTCTGTGGTCTGGACCTCCCTTAACTCCACACCTTTCAAGACTGGGCTGCAGTGCCCTGCTCCTGTGTCCAGATGGATGCTTGCTTCCTCCTGGTGTCAGCTCTTGCTGCAGTCCCCTCAGCCCTTAGCTCAGGGTTCACGTCTGTGAGTCTCAGCTGGCCCCGCAGAGCCCACTGGCCCAGCAGCCTCAGTGGCTGTCACACCCCATCTGTGTTAAAAGTGTTCATTGTGTTTCTTTGCTTTTTGTTTTGTCTTTTTTAGACACAGAGCACAGCCTAGCCATCATGTTGTCTTCTTATGAGTGCTAGTGTGCCCCACCCTTGTAAGGGGGCTTGTTATGTCCCAGGCCCCAGAGTAAAGATTGCCACAGCTCCCAGTGCCTAGTGGAGATACGTGCTAACTGTGAGAGGCTCCGATGTTCTCTCAAAGGCGGTGAAAAATCTTGTAATAAAATGAAAAAAAAAAGCCATAGCCCTCCTCCTATCTGCTTTTACACTTGCTGGAGCTGGGAATTAAGCTGTCTTTTGAGGGGTTTGTTGTTATTTTCTTTTGTTTGAGGCACTCTCTCTGTGTAGCCTTGACTGCCTGTGTTGACCAAATTGGCCACAAAGACAGAGATGCCTCTGCCCCTCTGCCCCTGCCCCTCTGCCCCTGCCCCTCTGCCCCTCTGCCCCTCTGCCGCTGCCCCTCTGCCCCTCTGCCCCTCTGGCCCTCTGCCCCTCTGGCCCTCTGGCCCTCTGGCCCTCTGCCGCCGTCTCCTGATTACACCTGTAATCCTGCTAGGATTACAGGTGTGCCTTCACACCAGCCTTAAGCTTATTTAAGGGTTCAGAATAGCGAGACAGTCTTTGTTTTCTGTAGGTTATATATGAAAGATAAATAATTATTTCACATTTTCAAATACAAACTGACAGTTTTCACAGCCCCCCCCCCAAGTAACTAGGTAGGCAGTAGGAGCCACTGAGTGCGTGGCAGGGGCTGGTGGAGGCTGCTGGCTCTAGGGCCTCACCCTGACTAGACTCCTGTGGCCAGCCTCTGAAGAAGCCAGGGCAGTAGCTCGCAGTGGCTGAGCTCCGCCTGAGCGCTCCCCGGGCAGCACAGGCCCTGCCGCCCAGTGTGGGCCTCCTGCTGCCCTCTGCTCCCTCAGCTTCATGAGGGTTAGTGGGAGCAGCAAGAGCCTGGGCTAGCTACAGTCTCTTGAATATAAAGGTAACTGGAAGGCTTTCAAATAGAAATGTAACTACGTGGTGGCTTAGGCATGGTGAGGGCAGCTGAGGGCAGTGATGACACTCTGGCCCTGCTCTGTGGGGCTCGCAGGGCTCCTTCTCTGTCCTGAGGAGCTGTGATCTCTAGAGTCCGTGACTCTTCAGCCATGAGAGGTGTCATTGGTTGGAATGGTCTGTCTGTCATTCCAGCTTTCAGTTTCCTCGTTGAGAGGCATTGCCTCACAGTGAGTCTTTGCTGTGGTTGGGTTTTGAACTCTGGAGTGAGGAGGAGAGAGATGGCCTGAGGGTGTTCTTGTGGCATTTGGCTCTCCTTATAATAGGATGTGGGAACGTGTACGTCTGCTCTCTGAATCATGACCTCCGAAAGAAGTGGTTTGTTTTGTTTTCTTAAATGATGTATGAAGGGCTCTGTGGTGAAGGTGTTTGGTCCTCCCCTCCCTGTGTTGACACAGTGCCTGACATCCATGGGAGCTGGTGTGGTGTGCTGTGTGAGAAGTCACGGCCACGGGTGCCGGGTCAGAAACACCCTGCTGTCCGGCAGGTAGAGAGGGATGCTGACTCTGCACTTCTCACCACAGGTGCCGTTTACATCGACCAGTACTGCAACCCGCTCTCCGACATCAGCTTCAGAGACATCCAGGCCCAAATCCACAGCATCGTGGAGCTCGTATGCAAAACCCTCCGTGGTGTCAACAGTCGCCACCCCAGCCTGACCTTCAGGGCAGGTGTGGAACTGTTGGAGAAGGGCTGGGCTGCAGGGGCCCTGGGATGATCGGCTGCCTGACAGTGGAGCACTAAGCCACTCTGGTTCCATCCGCAGCTTGGCGCCCCTTGTCAGTCACTGCGTGTTTGGAGTGTGCCTTGGTCATGTTTGGGGTGTGCTTGCTTATGTTTGGGGTGTGCTTGCTCATGCTTGTAATCCAGAGGAGCTCTCTGTGCTACAGGTGAGTCCGCTATGATAATGGAGATAGAACTCCAGAGCCAAGTGCTGGACGCCATCAACTACGTCCTGTACGACCAGCTCAAGTTCAAAGGGAACCGCATGGACTACTACAACGCCTTGAACCTCTACATGCACCAGGTGGGTATGGCTGCAGGCGGGGCATGGGATGTCCCCTCCCTCATAGCCGTGGAGTCTGCAGGATTCCCTGCGCGCTAACCATGCAGGCACTCTGCATTGCCTAACCTTGCCGGTGTGCACACACATAGGACCAGACAGTGCTGGGCACTGCGTGTGACGTCACACTGGGAAGGGCGGGGGTACGGTTTCTGTGCCCTCCCTGCCCCACCTGCAGATGTTGGTGCCCTGGAATGCTGCGGCCCTGGCTCCCCTGCAGACAGACAAAGGTGACTGTGTGTGCAGTCATACATACAGCCTTTGGACTCATCTCTGGTGGGCTGTCCGTTTCTTACTGGCAAATGCTTTTGTTGCCTTTTCCATGTTTCAGTGAAGTCTGTTTTTCCTGTCCCACAGGGACAGTGTTGTGGGTTAGATCTGCTACAGGATGGCCTTTGTAAGCAAACCTTGTACCAAGAAGTGGGTATTCTGTAACTTGCTGTGCTCAGTCCATGGTTATGAATGCTGAACCGTGCAGACCTGCCTCGGTTTGCCTGGAGTCCTGTGGCCCGGCTACATCAGCCACACACCTCTGATGGCTGTTCTTGTCTGTCCTGTTCTCTGTAACTTAGACTTGCTGTTGTCATATTGTACTTTTTACATGCTTGCTTTCTGGTAGGAGGAGGCTGGCGGGCTGCCTGTGAAGTGCCTAGCAGTCCAGGTTCGCAGGCTGTGTGGTCGGAGTGCTCAGTGCTGTCTCACTGGGGGAAGGGCACAGGAACTGGAGTCTTGAAGGCAGCTGTCCATTCCATGCCAGCTTCGTTGCCTATTTTGACATAGGCTCTCACTCAGTAGACCAAGCTGGTCTTGGACTCTGTCCTCCTGCCTCAGACTCCCAAGTGCTGGGATTATAAGCATGGACCACAGAAGACCTGGCTTCTGTGATTTTCATGTCACAAGATAGTATTGTTTTTTAAATATTTTAAAAACTTGAAAATTCACGTGTGTGAATGCTAAGTGGTGGACTGCTTCCCCAGTGTACACGAGCCTCCAGCTTCCATGCCTAGCCCTGCAAAACCAAACGAAAGGCAAAAGCAAGGGACGGGCCAGGGGTGGCCCACACACCTATAAGCACAGCACTTGGGGGGGTTGGGGGGCAGGATGGAGAGTTGCCAGCCTGGACTTTGTAAGGAGACCCTGTCTCAGGGAGAGGGGACAGGCAGTCTTCTGCTGGCTGTGAACAAACAGCCAGTGGGCTGGATTTGGTCCTGATGTAAGTGCAGCTCTGGAAGCCAGCGTGGATGCCAGCCTGAACCTGAAACCTTTCTCCTCAGGTGTTGACCCGCAGAACAGGAATCCCCATCAGCATGTCTCTGCTCTACCTGACCATCGCCCGGCAGCTGGGAGTCCCCCTGGAGCCTGTCAACTTCCCAAGCCACTTCCTGCTTCGGTGGTGCCAAGGGGCAGAAGGGTGAGCTAACTCTGCTATGTGCAGTGCACACTGAGGAACCAGGGGCTAGCGTTAAATTGTGTGTGACCAAGCAGGCATCTGCTTCCGAGGATCGAGTTGGGATCCGACAGTGACGGTCTACTGTAGTTACGCTGGGCCCTGTGTGACGGGACAAGCACTGCTCGGGATCTTTCTGTAGTCCTCAAGAAGGCGTGTGAATCTGTAGCTATCTCAGAAGCCAGAGGTCTAGTGGCTCCCAGATCCACAGCTTGAAGATCAGTCGTTTCAAAGACTTTTTTCTTTTCCACTCAGCCATAAAACATCTTCTCCCTTCACACTTGTGCCCCACCTTGTGAGAGAGGATGAGCAGGGTGGACGACTTACAGCCTGGCTGAGTAGTGCTTGCTCTGGAGTCAGCCTCTTGTTCTCCAGCTTCCCTGACGGGCGTCTTCCCAGGAAAAAGAGCTGGTATCCATGTAGGGAGAAAGCTCCTCCCCAGCTCCTGTCCTGGACAGTGGCATATGCAGTTCCTGAGCTTCAGTGCCACGCAGGACTCAAACTTTGTAAACACTGGCATGAAGAGTTCAAGGCCAGCCTCCAGTATGCATGTGTGTGACCCACACACTCCCGCTTAGACTCCGTCTCTCCTGCTGTCTAGAGAAGTGCGGCTGGGCTCCATGCGCCCTCCAGTTAAGACAGAAGGTGTTCCATGAGGTGGAGCCCTGTCCCTTTCCACTACTTTTTCTTTGACTTGCTAGAGGCTGTCATTTTTTCCAAATGTGTGGTCCTCACAGTACACTGGTAGGTTAATTTATAGAACAAGGATATTTACTTTCTGTTATTTTTTAATAAGAAAAGTGATTTTCAGCTCACCTTCCCTCCCGTTGTGTGTCTGTAGGATACCCATGTGACATCCAACGGGTCCTGCATGATCTGAGCATTTCTGGCTCGTTTAATTTCTAGCATAAGGACTATGCTACCCAGGCTGCCTTGGAACTTGGAACCTCCTGCTTCAGCCCGGTGCCCTGAGTGCTAGTGTTACAGGACTGAGCCACCACCCAGACTCAGACAATGGAATGACCTGTTAGTATGGCTGGGCTCGGCCGCCTTGGGTCAGGAGGGACACCGTACTCCAGTATCCAGACAGACGGCAGAAACAAACCCAGAGAATTAGGAAAGACCGGGGCACCAGAGACTGTACTGCATGCACACAGACCTTCCTTCCTCTCAGCTAGTCCGCCCTCGCTGTCGGTGCTGGACACACGAGACCCCATCCAGATCGGCAGCCTGCTTTCACTGATCTTGGCTTTTGCTCTTCCTTAGAGGGAGAGCCAGTTTGTCAGTTCCTTAGAGCTATGTGGAAGGCATTGGGAGCCTGAGGCAAGAGTTTGTGGCCAGCCTGGGCTACTGTCTAACCCCCATATCAAAGAAGAAAACAAAAATTCTGCTTGAATATCGACTGGAGCTAGAGTCTGCTCTGTCTGGTTCTGCACTAGTGTAAGAATCGGCAGCCTCCCATCTGTGACCGTGGTCCTGGGAGTCCAGCAGGAAATTGTTCACTTGTACACACATTCAGGTTGTCCTGAGCTACCAAGCCCTTTGTCTCTAGCTGTGTGTGTGGTACTTGTATATATGCTTGGCCTTCAGCATCAGGCAGGATGGGTCTTCAGTATGGATGGTTTGGAGCTCTGTGCTCAGAATCTGGACAGTGCTGTTTTGTCTTTTCTAGCTTAGTATGTTGGCTTCATACTCTGTTGACTACAAAGCAGAAACAGACAGCAGATACTCTTGCCTGGAATGGTTTTTGTTTTTTAACCTTCTGTGTGTGTGTGTGTGTGTGTGTGTGTGTGTGTGTGTGTGTGTGTACAGAAGTCAGAGGACAACTTGTTGGGGGTCAGTTTTTTCCTTCTGTTATTTGGGTCCCAGGAATCCAACTCAGGGCCTTAGATTTGGCGCCAGCACCCTTACCACTGAGACACCATTGTAGCCCAGGGATCATGTCCCATGGAGTGCTTCTCCACATCACCATTAAGCTTCTGCGTGGGCTGACACCTCTTAATGGTGTCTCCAAAACTAACTTGTAATTTTGTGAAGCATGAGTTTGTTTGAGGTGTTGGATTTGTGTATATTGAGACAGGCCTCACTCTGGAGCCCTGGCTGGCCTGGAACTGACAGTATAGCTTAACCAGGACCCCAGTCACAGTCACCAGCCTGTCTCTGCCTCTGCACTGCGATTGAAGTCAGTGCTACAAAACCCAGCTAGTCCTGCTGCGTTGTATTTACATGTAGGCAGTAGGGTTTTTTTTTTTCAAGAATGTATTTATTATCTGTCCATGGCTTTCCACTTTTGCTCTCTGTAGGAGCAGCTGTTTGGGTTTTGGTTGCTGGACCTGAGGTTTTGATGTGTGCTGCAGATTGAACCCTGCCTTAACTGCTGAGGTTGACCCATTTCCAGAACTGATCTTACGTCTTCATCTCCATGTTCTTGGGGCACAGCTAGTCTAGGCATGCTTTAAGAACACCCTGGCACTTGGCCACATGCGCACTTTGTCTGTGTGGTTTATGTTTGATGATTTCTTGTGGGGAGTTCTGGCCTCACCGCAAACGCCGTCAAGTCCCATGCTCTTTTAGAACATTTATGTAAGTCTCAGGCCTTTGCCAAAAGTACGCTATGAGCGCGACTCAGGAAAGAAATCCGGCTGAGGTAGTTAGCAGCCAAAGACAAAATGTTGTGTGATTGCAGTGGGCACGGGATCAGGATTGCTCAAAAGAAGCTGTCCCCACACAGAGCCACCCACCCCTTCGTGAGCCCTCAAGACCACTTGGCTGTGCAGTGACAGTGTGTGACAGGGCCTTGCTCTCTAGGATGCCAGCCTGGGGTGTGTGCACAGAGGCCCTGGTGCTTCATGAGCTTTCATAGGTCCTCCTCGGTCCAGGACCCCAGACAGGTGGCTGCTTGTCACTCTGTTAGCAGCCTCCTTGGTCACTCCCCATGTCCTCCTGTCGACGTGCTCTGAACTCCTGGTTCAGGGCTGGAGGGCTCTAAGCAGCCGTCAGGCCGTGCGCTTCTCTGCTGCCCCTTGTCTGTAGGTTAGGATGTGTGTGTCACAGCGCGTGTGTAGAGTCAAGGACAGTTTGCTGGGGTCAGTTCTCTCCTTCTACCACATGGGTCCCAGGATCCAACTCTTATCGTCAGGCCTGACAGCGAGCACTTTTATCCAGTGAGCCTTCTCTCTTGCCTTTCTACTTAATACTGGGACACTGTGGTCACTGCAGCCAAGGCTGTGTTAAGAGTTGGGATTGACTCCCACTGAGGCCTTGACAGTATTGGTGAGAGCAGTCTAGTGGTGCTCTGGCCTCCACCTCTGCCTGGAGCGCCTTCTCCAGGGGTTTTGATCTGACTTATTGGCTCTCGTTGGGCAGGGCAAACCTGGACATCTTTGACTACATCTACATAGATGCTTTTGGCAAGGGCAAGCAGCTGACTGTGAAGGAGTGTGAGTACCTGATTGGCCAGCACGTGACGGCAGCACTCTACGGTGTGGTGAATGTGAAGAAGGTGCTTCAGCGGATGGTGGGCAACCTGCTGAGCCTGGGCAAGAGGTGAGGACGCTGCTCCCTCGTCAAGAAGCTTGGTTAATGAGCTGGCCTGTGGTAACTGCTTCTGTGACACCGGCTGTGCATTCATGTATGCCGAGCAGCCATGCTCTGATGATTGCAGTAGACTTAGCTCAAACCTTGGAGTCACTCTTTGGAAGTCAGACTGTCTTAGAGTGACAGAGGTGGTGTCCTCCTGTCCAGGTGCTCTGACCTCTGATCTTACACCATCCTGTAGAGAACAGAGCCTGGGTTAACTTTGCTCCATACTTGAAGGAAATCAGTCCTGGGAAATCACTGTGGGTAGCGTCTAGCGGGCAGCTTCCTGATGCCTCACAAACAGGAATCATTGTGAATAGACTTTTCGAACAATTGTCAGTTGTTGACAGAATTGAGCAGACTGCAAGGGGGGCGGAGAGTAACTTTCTGTCTGTGAGTATGTGCAGCTTGTGAACCCAAACCCCCAACAGCAGAGCAGACACCTGTTACAAATGCTGACCCTGAACTGACAGATCTTCCCAGGTCCGCTCTTACAGGCGCAGTCTCTGTGCACATCCTTCATTCTCCCCCTGGCTGGCTCTGCTCCCCTTCCAGCCTCTGCTCTGCTCTGCAGAGATCTCTGTGCTGCGGAGGTGACTGCCTAGTGAGGGCAGGCTTGAGTGTGCTGTGGGGGCTATGTTCAGTGTGGAGTCTCCTGAGAGCTTTGCAGGGTTGAACCGGGGAGTCTGGGAATCTTGGAGGTCTGCATCCGGTGCTTGTGGACTTCCACTGGGGAGGCTGCAGCCTGAGGCAAGGTTATTTGTTTGTCCCCAGGGAAGGCATTGACCAGTCCTACCAGCTCCTCAGAGACTCCTTGGACCTGTACCTGGCGATGTACCCAGACCAGGTGCAGCTCCTGCTCCTCCAAGCCAGGCTCTACTTCCACCTGGGCATCTGGCCAGAGAAGGTAATTATCTTACTTTGATGCTGGGTCCTTGCCTTAGAGAGGAAAGCTGGAGCTTGGACCAAGGCTGTTGCCAGGTAATCCTCCTGTTAGCAAGGGAGGACATTTGAATGCTCAGTCTCCCAGCCCTGACCCAATGTTAAATGTTTTTCTGTCTTCTAAGAAGCATTGGCTCTACTATCAGGGGTGACTGTTGGCTCTATGCCTCTCTCTGAGGACAAGACACAAGGCCTTTGCCTTGCTCCTCACCCACTACCACCCCACTGTGCCTTCAGAGAGTCACCTGACTTGGCAAGGAGAGGCGAGACAGGTGCTCAGAGCTGGCTTTGCGGCAGCTGTTCCACATGGGAAGACTGGCTGAGGCCGGCTGAGGCTTCTTTGTGTCCCACTCGAGGGTTCGGATCTGCTAATGCTCTAACCCCCGTGACTGGCAGGAAGTGCTGTAGAGAGCCACCTGTGGAACCCAGAGCTGGCTTTGGGCACACCAAGTGCTGTTTTGTGTGAGTGTTCAGGAGTCGTGACCCGTTCCCCTCCTGTCCTTGGTCTGGAAAGATGCCACAGGTCATTTTGTTTGTTTAGAACAGCCTGCAGAGGGCATTTGTGTCTAAGCCTTGGCTGGGACATTTCCCAGAGTTTTGAAATGTGTAGTCTTTCTATAGAAAGTAAATGCTCTGGGGGCTGCAGAGATGGCCCAGCTGTTTGTCACTTGCAGAAGACTTGGGGTTCAGTTCCCAGCATGCACATGAGAGCTCTCAATTACCTGTAACTCCAGCTCCAGGGAATCCCATGAGTGCCCTCTCTCCTCCCTCTCCCTTCCCTCTCCTTCTCCTCCATCTCCCTCCCCCACCTCTCTCTCTCTCTCTCTCTCTCTCTCTCTCTCTCTCTCTCTCTCTCTCACACACACACACACACACACACACACACACACACAATTAAAAATAAAATATTTTAAAATGTATTTTAAAAAAGAAAGTAAATGCTCTCATGAGTGACTGTAGCACTTCATGAGTTCATGGCTTCCAGGACGTGTTGTGTGTGGCATAACGTGGGCAGTCCTGTGTCCTTGGGTGTGCGCCCTGGGAGCTGCCACCTACTCAGCAGCCCAGGGTTTAGTCTTTTGGGTTTGTTCAGCCAGTTGTGTTTGTTGAGGGATTTCAGGATCATTTGGGAAAAAGGGAGCAAAGGTCCCTTCACTGAGTTGTCCCAGTCAGAGTCTACAACTGAAATACACTGTCTTGCTGCTACAGGGTCTCCTGGGTGTCCCCTCGCAGCATCCTGTCAGTTCCCCAGTGTCATTCAAACCAGTACAAGTTTTCTTCTGGTGTGTTCTGCCTGCCAGGTGGACACAGGCCTTCGGTTCTAAGCTAGGACCCCTCCCCTAAGTTCTCAGTGGCCAGCTTAGGGAATCGAAACCCCAAGATCATGAGAGGACTGCTTAGGGGTGCACATCATCACTACATGTGGCTGTTCTCCAGAGGAGGGCTTCTGGAGGAGGTCAAAAGGTCGGCCATCCCAGAGAGCAGAGGGGTAGGTGGCACCTAAGGAAGGCGCCTGCAGGAGGCCTCCCTCAGGGAGGGGTGTGCATGTGATGAGAGGAAGGTGATAACAGCCTGTGACACTTGGGCCTTGCTTGTTAAAAAGGCTGTTTCTGAGCAGCAAACCTACAGGTGCCTCACGGTCTGCTTTCTATTTCTTGAAGCTGGGGAGACCTGGAAAGCCCAATCCTCTTGGTCACTGTGGCTGTGGTGGCCATGTCTGTAAAGGTTCCTGCCTCTGCAGAAAACCTCCCTGTGTCCTCTCAGCTGCCTTGCGGCACTGTGTTGGTGTTGCCAGGTTCCAAGTGCTAAAAGGCAAGAAGTTACCTCTGCTCTGAGCCCACCCCAGGTGTCACCCTGAGGATCACTATGACTAAGGAGAAAACAGCTGCTCTTAGTACTGCCAGAGCCAGGTACACTGTGACCCTTTGCTTTCTCTGCGATGCGGGAAGACCCCCTCCCCTCTGGAATGGAAGACTGCTCGTTCCTTATCAGCCCCGTGGGGCTTGCCTGTGGCCACCACTCTATCTCCTCCCTGCCTGCTGACTCACACTCTGTCCTCCGTGTTCTGACTGCCTTCCTCCTGCCTCTGCTGTGTACTCCCGAAGCATGAGCTCTTCCTCCCAGTCCTCCCCCAGGCCGTGTTCTGGCCAGCAGCCCTTCTGTTGCTGTTGTAAGGCCGGGAGGTGGCCTTGCCCTTTCCCCTGCTTCTCTGCTGCCCCCCCTGCCTCCTGGCTGCCAGTTCCCAGGCTCCTTCCCATCTCTTGTCTGCCAGGCTTTACATGTGAGTGCTCTGGAGGCTTACTCTACCCAGTGTGTGGTCCCAGGGGCTTCCTTCAGTGCCTCTGTCACACCTGAGCAGGGCCGCAGAAGACCGGGCCCACTGCTTGGTCTTCCTGTCATGTCCACAGCAGTCAGGATCTCAGTAGGATAGACTAGTCCCGGGTGGCTCCCTGCTGCCTTTGGCCGCTTTTCTCGCAGGTCTGTGTGCTCCTGCCCACCTGACCTGTATGCTTCGTCTCCCTGGTGCTCTCTGCACTACTGTCTGCCGTGCTCACGCAGCATCCCTCTGCTGACTCACTGCTCCAGCCTCCTTCCACACTGGGCTCCCCACCACTCACTCTGTCTCACAGCACTGGTCTTGGCTTGTGGCATCTCCCAGGGGAGTTCCTATGGGGAACGGTTGGGTGACTGTAGTCCCCTTGGACGTGAGTGAAAGCGACTTCCAGCACTTACAGGGTTTCCAACATGGGGCCAACATACTGCTCTAGAAGTGGGTGTTTAAGGCCTAGGCTGCGTGGCCTAGGAGAGAGTGCCAAGGCGGGCTGTGTAGAACTGGCCTGGACCACCCATGGCAAGCAGCAGTCGTGGCCTTCCTCAGAGGCTCCTGCCATGCCCACCTGCAGCCCCAGCAGAAAGTCCAGCAGACAAATAAGCAAGGGGAGCCGAGAGTGAGCGCAGAGAGAGGCTCAGTGCTCAGGCAGGACTTGCTCACACAGTTTAGTGGATTGGCGAGCTTGGAGCTGCCTTCGGCAGGGGCCTGGCCACAGCTGGCTGTGGTGCTGTGTGGCCAGAGGAGCAACAGTGTACACAAATGTCCCTGGGCAAGAGGACTTCCTTCCTTCCCCCTGAGTGTTGGGTTTTTTTTATTTGGATGGACGTGGTTTGTTATTTTTGTTTTTGAGGTAGGATTATGGTATATAGTAGCCCCCATTGACTCTTGGGATCCTGCTTCCCAGTGTCAGGATTAAAAATATACGTCATTACATCCAGCCAAGGCCTGCAGCATCGGTTGGGGTCACGATGCCCACTGTTAGCACTGTCTTTGTGAACGCACCAGGTCCAAGTCACATTTCCTTGTCTGTGTCCCCTCACCCTCAACCTCACACATCCATGCAAGGAACCAGTGTCTCCTGTCTTACTGTCTGAATGTGGGCCACCTTTGTGCCCTGAAAAGTCCATGTCTGGCTGTGTTGCAGGTCTGCTGGGTGGCCTCTGGGAAAGCAGGCTGTGTGCACAGTGACAGAGGTGGCTCACTGGCAAGCACACACAAGGACAGCCATTGTTTCCGGCAGAATCCACAGAGGCCCACTGTCCAATGGGATGCTATCAGCTACAAAGGAAAAGTGCCACAAGCATCCCCACCTTAGAGCCCCCGGCTGGAGGCTGGAGACTGACTCTTGCTAGATGCTTGTTGAAGCTGGCTTTGGAGTATCCGCGGTCCTGGAACTGCACCTATTGTTCTTTCTGTTAAGTTGCATGGCAGTAATTAAGATGCTTCTCCTGCCACAGCGCTGGCTGAAACTGTGAGCTGAGGTCCTCCCCAGGGCCAGGGCCACAGCTTTGTTAACCCTCTGACCTCAGGCCAGCATTTAAACTTACGGAGCCAAGCCAATCGTGGCTGTGGAATACCATGTCCAATCGAGACCTCTAACTCATCCCCAGGAAGTACCGGCAGCCTGCTGTATTGCTCTGGAGGGCAAAGTTGGCTTCAGGAAAACTGCTGAGGCTTTGTGGATCTGGTTGTCGGCGTTGAGGGATCGAGCGGCTGAATAGTGAAGTGGCTGGAAGGCGGGCGGGTGGGCGAGCAGGGCTGCGCCTAGAGTTGAGGGTGTCTGTCTCACTAAGCAGGCGCAGCTCGGCCTCAGTAGTCTGGAGGGACAGGCTTGTCAGAGACCACTAGTGTGTGCTCCCACGTCGCAGTGTGTGGGTTCCAGTGTGCCAGCGTGCAGACTCACACTTTGCATGATGCCTAACTCTTGAGTGGAGCTGCTTGCTGTATGCAGCAGACAGACCGGATAGGGGTCAGCCCTGCTGCCAACCTGAGCTCGCCATGAGTGACTGCCTGCCTTCTGCAAGCTTGCTAAGCCTGCCTCCTCCCTCCAGTGACATCAGCTTAGGAGATGCCGGCCCATCCAGCTCTGGGACCGGTCTGCCAAGTGTCTTTTGCCTTGGCTAAGACGTCTCGGAGTTTTTCCCTCTTAAAGCGAGAATGACAGGATAGAACAGTTTCTGTACTTTAAAAAAAGGAAAAAGAAGCTGACCTTCCTCAGCTCCATGGTAACCAAGAACACTTGGCCCATTAAGAATCCTGATCGGAGCCAGGCAGTGGTGGCGCACGCCTTTAATCCCAGCACTTGGGAGGCAGAGGCAGGCAGATTTCTCAGTTCGAGGCCAGCCTGGTCTACAGAGTGAGTTCCAGGACAGCCAGGGCTACACAGAAAAATCCTGTCTCGAAAAACCAAAAAAAAAAAAAAAAAAAAAGCAGCCTGATCGGCAAGTGGCACGTTGCTAGTCTTTGTCAGGCTACGTGGGTAGGTGTCGGTCCCACGCTTCGGAGAAGAAAAGGCCTGGCGAAAATATTATCTCCTAGTCTTTCTGTCTTGTCTTGAAGGTGCTTGACATCCTCCAGCACATCCAGACCCTTGACCCCGGGCAGCACGGGGCGGTGGGCTACCTAGTCCAGCACACGCTCGAGCACATCGAGCGCAAGAAGGAGGAGGTGGGTGTGGAAGTGAAGCTGCGCTCCGAGGAGAAGCACAGGGATGTCTGCTACTCCATCGGCCTCGTTATGAAGCACAAGAGGTGAGGCCTGCTCTCTGCTGCCATGGCCAGCCACAGGATGGCTAGCCACAGGCATGGGCCAGGGCCACACCCTGGTAACTCAGTTCATTTCACAGAGCACTCCACCACAGGCAAGACAGCAAGCTGCACCTGATCTGCACCCTGCTCTGGCTGAAGTGTCTTGTCTCTCATGGACTCTGACTGCACTAAGAGTTTGTATAGGTTGCTGGGCTTGAGCCTAGGGACAGCATGCTAGGCTGAACTGCAGCCCCAGGCCCTCTCCTGCTTCTCCCTTCTTCCCCTGCCAACTCCGATCGACCGTTGGTGGTGTGGGTTCATGTCCCACAAGTAGCCTAGGAGCTGTGAGTGCCTGTCCCCACAGCATGCCCTGGAGTCCACGGACAGCAGGTGACACTTGGTCTTCAGGACTCCCTCACTGGCAAAGGCGCGTCTATCTCACCACACAGGTGTCCTTGCTGATGTGTGACTACTCCCCACCCCCTCCCTTGTCTGTGAGGACAAGCTGTCAGTGAGTCCCCTGCTCATTTAGTGAACTCTTTCTTCTTAGCTCTTATGAGAATTTCCAAACGCATATAAGTGGAGAGGACGGAACATGAGGCAGCTGAAGCTCCTCCCATCCCGGAACCGCACACCCTTCTCCTTCACCACCGCCCCTGCCTCCCCTCCCCTCCTCCTCTTCTGGACTATTCACCCTAGCCACTCTGTAGGTCTTTCTGAGGGAGGGAGGGCGCCACTGCCCACTCATGCATCTGCGTCTGACCACATGCAGTAAGCAGTTGCTTGAATTCCTCCAAAGCTGGGTGGGCGTCGAGGGTTCTGCATGGTAGTGTGCTTAGGGTCTGTTGTTCGCTTGACTTGACTGTCATCTGATGCCTTCCTTCTTGGATCTCAGGTCACACAGTATTCAGTTAGATGCTGTGCCTCTGGGGTTTGTTTTACTCTGAGATGACTGACAGCATGGTCAGGCCACCATCCTGTCTGTCTGTCACCTTTCACACCAGCTGACACTTTCCTGTGTCTCTCACTGCTCCAAAGTCTCTTAGAGCAGGCATGCTAGTGCCCATCTTTAATCCCAGTACTCAAGTCAGACAGGCGGAGCTCTGTGAGTTTGAGGCTAGCCTGATCTACATAGTTCCAGGACAGCCAGAGCTACACAGTGAGGACTGTCTATAAAAGCAACAGGTTATTCTTTTCTAGTGAAGTGCTTTGTTGACAGTGAGAGGGTTTGTAAGAGGGACACTGTGTCCTGAGGGATGATGTGACACGGTGAAAGCAGGGAATGGACAGACAGAGGGCATGAGAGCCCCAGCCAGGCTCCTGGTGCCACCGCCTCTCTCAGGCTCACTGGGAACTCACCGGCCATCTTCCCCTGCTCCACAGGTACGGCTACAACTGTGTGATCTACGGCTGGGACCCCACGTGCATGATGGGGCATGAGTGGATCCGAAACATGAATGTGCACAGTCTGCCTCACGGCCACCATCAGCCCTTCTACAACGTGCTGGTGGAGGACGGCTCCTGCAGATACGCAGCCCAAGGTAAGGCGCTTGCTGGAGCTGCCCCAGCCCCTGGCTGACCATGCTGTGCACAGAGCTCACCAGTGTGTTCAGAGGTGGCAGCTGTCTGTGGCTAATCACACACAGGCACACAAGCTTGAGGTTCTGTTCTAGAGCTGCTCCTGCCCTCTGCTTACTCTGCCCACACCAGCCAGACTCCCGACTTCCCTGTCTCTCAGGCCTGGCTTCTAGCATTGCTGGCCTATAGTCGCCCTCATGTGGCCACAAGTGGAAACTGCAGTCTCCAGCATAAGCCCTGTGTGTTTGACCCCAGGAAGTCCTGAGCCAAGGATAGATGGAGCTAAAAGCCAGAGCAAAGACTACGGTGCGAGCCTGCTCTTCTTTGTCCGCATTACTTCTGCAGGAAGATGCACAAGAGTTTATTAATAAGAGAGACCGTGGGCACTGGCATGATGGACAGGCGTACTCTCATGGGTACCGAGTCTGCTTGGGACCCAGGCTCAGCCTCTCATATATGCAAAGCCTGGAGCTTGTGGAGGCCACCCCCATTTCACCCTACCCAAGAGGGTGTGAAGCAGGAGCTGGGCTGTGGGCTCTGGTCTGAGCTGTCAGGCTTGCTCTACCCACAGTAGAGCTAAAAATACCGAGGGCTCAAGTGTGAGGTTTCAGAAGTCAGGAATGTTCCCAGATGCATGATCATGGTCCATCTGAGGCCAGGAGGACCTCTGCAGTCACTTCACCTCCATGGGTTTCTGGGTAAGGTGACGGTACTGCCATGCTCCCTGGATGTCTTGGAGGCTTCCACCACAGTCTTCAGCTGTTGAAGCTGAGTCCAGTGAAACTCAGAATGCTCCACTTCTGAAAGTCAGAGTGACTTTAAGAAGCTCCAGGGCTTTGTTAGGTGACAGGTGAGGGACACTTTCTGCCCTCAGCCACAGCCTACCAAGTACAGCAGTTGTCCACCTATACACAGCAGGTATGAACATCTTTAAACAGGGTATGTATGGAAGTTTCTAGAAACATTTCATTTAGTCTTAGTTCGTTTGCTTGGTGCACTTTATAAAACGAGCACTTGACTTTAGATGCTCTGAATCGTTGGACCCAGTCATTTGCAGGAAAAAGGAAGCATGTGGTCCGTTAGTCCAGTGACGTGGGGCACGGCTGTAATTATGTTGGCTTCTGCTGGTTTCCAGTGGCCTTCCTGTCGGCCACAGGAATATGACGTCTCCCGAGGGCTACTGGTGGTGGCTGTGGGGTGCAGTGCTGGCAAGGGGCTCTTCCAGAAGCCACAAACATGCATTCACTCACCTTCCTGGGCCAGCCTGTCTCGGTGACCCTGTGAACTGTTGTTTCTGTGCTGGACTTCCATGATCTTAGTGTCTTCTCACACCCCTCCCTGCCTGCTCCTGCAGACACTGTCCACACGGTGCTCCTCACAC